TCAAGAAAACTGATTGACTAATGAAAGTTTCGTATTCTGTTCACGAAGTGCTTCTGGGCGATGTGAAGGCTTAAATCAAGTAACTAATACAGTTAACCACCTGCGATTATATAAACTCTGATCAGATGGCTGCGCGCTGACTTAGTCACCATGCGCAGTCTCCAGATGGAATCAAAATAAAATTAAAATGTTGACATTAACAGTCTGACAACAGAATCGCATTGAACTCGCAGAGAGCTGTTCACTGATAGGCAACATATGTGAAATTAAATAATTGATGCATATGATTAGCTGTCAGTGACATAAATTCAAACTTGCAACCACAAAACTGCGCGCTGACGTACTGACTGAGCACATTCATCACAATGGAACTGTAATAAGAAATTCATTAGTTTTACAACGGCATCGTACTTAACTCACAGAGCTACTCGTTAACGTATAACGTTATCGGCTGAATCGCGTAGTTGATGCAGCTGACCAGTATCCAGTTATACAGATTCAGTGCGGCGACCGCATTACTAAACACTTACCAAACCAGCAGTCTTTGCCAAAACGTCCCATTTCACAGTTCAAGACATCGGGATCAGTGTCATGCTTTCCTAGGATATGCAGATGATACTGTCCTGGGAGTGGTAAGGGTAACGGTGACTTCAGACGCAACGCAGCTTAAAAAGCTGGACTATTTCTTAACGTTAAAATCACAATTTATCACGAACCCATCCGGCACATCTGATCTACATGTGGAACACGTAGAGGAAACGGCATAAGAGGTTTACCCCTGTAAGAATACACAATCTCTAGCGACGACAATATCCAATCAAAGTTAAATAAAACAGATTCGCTTCCGGTCTTTATTGTAACTTGTCCTATGTTTGGGTTGAGAAGGTCTTATCCACCGAAATCCACCTGTACCTGGCCTCTGTCAGGTCAGTACTCTTGTATGGCATGGAAACAGTTGTTCGAAGTTAAAAGAACGACGGTTGAACTGCGTACAGCATCGTTGGCTTCAGTGTATAATGCGAACTACGTTCCAGAACCACGTAAGGAATGACTGTATTGTTTTTCGGGTGCGGGTCCGCCGTACATCGTAGATTAAGAAAAAAGCAGTCAGCCTTGTTAGATATACTAGTTGAACAAAAACTAGTTACTACTAAAGTAGGCTGCATCGTTTGCGTCTGGTGAGAACGTTGTTCGTTGGGGACTGAAAAATTGCACGACAGGTGAACCTCGCATTTTCTCGTGTATGTTTATCTGAGCCTGTTTGGCAGAAGATTGGCGTATAATGGTTCCCTATTTTTGCATGTAACGGGTTGTAGCTTGTCAGGTCAATGAACAGACGGATGCTTGCCATCGCTTAAGATGAATTTTCTGAGTTTGAGGACAAAGTTCATCGCGTCCTTTACAGCCCTGTGCATCATTTCTGTCGATCTAATTCAGGCTAATCCACCGTTATCTTCACAGATATTCTGATTCTAGTCTGTTGGGATAGCGAGAACGTTGAAAAAATATTAGCTTTGCATATAGTGTATGGTGTAATATGCATATATGCGCTGGCGTGTTATGGTATCGGCGCCCAAATTTTTCAGCAGGAATAGAAAGGAAAATGCCCTCTTGATTTTTTCATGATAACAGCGTTTTCTTTGTCTGAGCTGAGGAATGATTCGATAGTGACCCCTAGATATGGTTTCGTGGTTTTTACGGTCTGGACTGTCGATGGTTGGAATTCCATAGGTGGTTGCTGCAAGCTAAATAACTGGTTGACCATTTGTCTTCGTGAGTAGAACGCACAGTCAAGTGACACTCGCTTTGAGTTTCAGGCCTGCTTCTCCCTGATATTTACATTAATGGGCGGGTACCCTTATTTAGGGATATGTTCATATTTTCCGGTGATGTACATTATGGCTGCTCATCGGCTTCATACAGCTGCTGGTGACCGTGTCTGAAGAACGTGAATAATACAGTTAATAAGTATGACTCTTGCGGCACACAAACTTTGCATGGCTGTGTCATTAATTGCATTAAAATTGACTCTGATCTCGGTCATAATTTCCTGTTTTTGTCGTGGGGAATTGTCGTGAAATCGAATCATAACAGCACGAACATGCGTCGGCCGACATCCAGAATTTGACTGATAATTCAACAGACTAGTAACAAGTCACCAAGCAGATACATCTATGTATAAATACGTCACATACACGGCGGGCATGTTGCTGCCGGCGCGACTCGTCGCCGACTACCGGTCAGTCCAGGTGAATTCACGAAAGTTGTCACGGCTTCCAAATTACCGCGATTATGCATAAGCCCAATTTGAAATAGATCATTATGGGGAAAGGGGAATTAAATATTATCTTTGCAGCCAATCCCTTGAATTAGTTGTGCCATGGTGGTGAATCTCCTATGTACTGGTCAGGAGGGGTTTGGACACGGAATCGAAATTCGGAATTATTCGAATCCTTTTTCAGAATCCATAAATGCTCCTTTAACAGAACAGGAAAAATACTTGGCGTGAAAACGCAACCGCAAACGATGAATGCAGAGCAAAGGAAAACGGATTTTATTAGACGTTCATTCAGGCATGACGTGCAACAGGAATTATTTTACAGCCACTTTCTAGTTCTTCGTGAAACAAGTCTGGTTTAACGTATACTGTTTAGCGTTCCTTGTAAGATCGTTTTTGCTGAAAATAAGAATTTTACCATCTTTTATTAAGTAAATTTACCATAAGGAAAGTCGTATTTGTTGAAACAAACAATTTGACCGCGTAGGAAACAACTACCGTGTCAAATGTCCGTGAGTTGATACATTTTATCAGTGGAAACTTCAGTACTCTTCGGTATGTTGAGTTTATAGAGCAAAGGCTCCAGTTAAGGGCAGTGGTTCGATATGAAAATTCCGTAATGCACATATGTTATTTTAGGTTTTCGAAAAGTTCCCAAACGTTGATCTAAGTCACAAAAAGGATTTCATCAAAGAAACAGTGAAACAGGTTCGAGAATTGCATGTTTTAATTTTTTTGATCATCAAGTTTTAGATATTAACCGACTGAATAAAATGGGGCTGAGCATTCGAGCAAAGAATGAATCGTGCAAGGATTCTGTATAAATAATGTGCATATAACTGTAACGAAACTTTTCGTTAGAATAATATACTTTAAAATGTGTTTCGTCGATCGCAGAAATGTATATTGTCAGCTCAATGTAGACATTTAAACTGCTGAAAAATGTCATCTCTGATATTCATCTTGAAACGCTCCAAGTTAATAAATGTCTGATTGTTGGTCGGCCGTGTGGACAGTTCTAGAAAAGGTAAATTTATGTAAATGAAGATGGACATATAAATAAAAATCTTTCTTTGCAATAACGTTAAGCAGCGAAAGATATTCGCAGCTCACTTTTGCTGGAGTAACATTTGACGATTTATCGAGAAATCAGGACGTGGCATCAATCAACAAGTGATATAATGTCGTTCTGATCTCAGCATCACATTTCATACTTAAAAACCAGTAACGATTCAGAACAAAAAACTTGAAATACTATTATTCCGTAGCTGTGTTATTCTCTAGCCAGATGATGCATTTATTCCTGAATACATAATTGCGACTTATGGCAGGGCTTGAGCATCTCAGCAGTTTCGAAGGCACTGCTACAATAAACAGCATTTTTAAACGGTAGCCTCTCCAACGTTGTAACGAAGGGTAAAGAATAAACTACGAGATGTAGACAGTACAGCAGTTGCATCGCCGAAAATGACCATATCATTTCACTTTACTTGCAAAATAATAACGAATCTGCAGTTCGCGTTAAGAGAGGCGTAGAGGTATCAACCGATTATCACCTTGCTGTTGCCATGCTGCGCTGTAAGAAATGGAGTACCAGACAAAGATTTGCGGGCAGAAGCAACCAGAGAATCAAATGGGAAATATCCTTGGTGGACGCGAGACCGAAATTTGCAAACCACATCGTATGACGGTTTGAACAGATCCCCCTGATGACCACTGATGTGAAAACCGAGTAGCGGCTCTTAAAGAGCGGCATACTCGAGGCTGCCGCCGAATGCTGCGGAATTAAACGGGTTCGCCTGACACCTGGAGGTCAGAAAAGATCTTCCTGGCGGACAAGAGAGGTACAGGTGATAGTTAAAGAGAAGAAAGCTGCATTCAAGAAATAGCTAGGAAACAAAGAGCCTTCTACTTGCGTGCGATATGTCGAGGCAAGCAAGGCGGCAGCGAAAGCCAAAGCTGATTCCTGGGAGAAGTTCGGTGAGGTATTGGAGTCGAATTTCCACACGGCAAACGAGGTATTCTCAGACCATTTCGCGGCTCCAAATTGAAAAGAAGAGCAGTCTCAGAGTCTTGAAGCACAGGTCTGGACACTTATCAAAGATGATGACATACCTCGGTAATGGAGAGAGTACTATGAGGAACTACTTAACCCCGAGCAACCTCAGGAAAATTCGCCTGTAGAGCAGCAGGGGACGGATATCACTATTTCTG